ATCCCTCCCTCCATCCATCCATCCATCCATCCATCCATCCATCCATCCATCCATCCATCCATCCATCATCCATCATCCATCATCCATCCCTCCCTTCTTCCATCCCCTCCCTCCCAGCCCTCCCAGCTCCCAGGCCCCACGGACCGCCAGGCACGTCCCTGTCTGTGCTGCCTTGTTGCTCGACTGAACCACCACGGCCTGGAGCTTCTTCAGCTGCTCCAGGAGGGACCTGGGAACAGGGAGAGCCCATGAGCCCCCAGCCCGACACTTCCCACCCCACCCTGTCCCCATCCCCTGCAACACCTACGAGTTCTGCTTCTCCAGGTGCAGGACTTTCCTCTGCAGCTCCTGGTTCTGAGCCGTGCACGCTGACATCCTGGGACAGGGAGGGCAGGATGGGGTCAGGTGACAGCTCAGGGGGGGCTGGCAAGGAGCAGAGTGCCCAGGGTGCCACCCCAGGGGTGTGTCAGCATGCCCAGGTGAGGGGCTCTGTACCTGCTCTCCAGCCCATCAATGTATTCCTTCTTCTTCTTGCGGCTCTCCTGAGCCGATTGCTTGTTCCGGATCTTCCTCCTGATCTTCTTCAGCACCCGCTCTTCGTACTGGGGGACACACGGGGGGAGTCAGGGCCTCCAGGGCTGGGACCCCCACTCCACACCCTCCCCAGGTGTCCTGGCACCCACCTTGGTGAGGGGCAGCTGCGTGGGCAGGGTCAGCCCTTCCTTTGCCAGCAGCTTCTTCTCGTCCTCCGTCAGCACCAGCTCCTGGAAGTGGCCCTGGCTCGGCCGGAGCAGGGAGCCAGGAGCCTGTGGCTGCTGTGGGGACATGGCATGGTGACACCTCTGGGTGGGGGTCACCTCCCACCTGGCCCCAGGGACCCTGCCTGGGACCACGGTGAAGGTGCCTTGGGCTAGGAAGGGACAGGGATCATAGACAAGGAGCAGGAAGGGAAAGGGAACAAATATGGGGCTGGGGAGGGACAGGGATGGGAATGGGGGATGAGCAGAATCCAGGAAGGGACAGGGAGTGTTGGGGACACAGGGACAGGGACTCACGTTGTCAGAGCTGCCCGAGAGCAGCAGGTCCTTGACAGTGAGGGCACAGGATTCAGGTGGGGTGACCATGGGCAGGTCCTGGCTCTCCTCCAGGAAGAACCCAGGGTGCCAAATGTCTGGGTGAGGGCAGTGCGGGGCTGTCAGCAGTGCTGTGTCCCCAGTGTCCCCACTGCAGGACCCTCCCCCTGCCATGGCCCCAGAACCAGCACTGCTGCCCAGTCCAGTGCCTCTGACTCTGTCCCTCCAAACTGTCCCTCTGATCCTGCCCTAGTTTCCCCCAACACCAGTCTGCCCAGTTTACCCCAGTTCCCAAGCTCCCTATCTCCTCCCTAGCCCACCAGATCTCTCAATTCTTTCCAGTTTCCCCGAGCTCCCTTAATTTCCTCACAATCCCTTAATTTCCTCACAATCCCCACCCTCCTCACTGCTTTCAGCTCTCCAGTGTCCTCAGTCCCCCCAGTGTTCCCAGCCTGGTCCTTTCCCAGTGTGGCTCACCCAGGTCGATGGAGACCTCGGGCTGCAGGACCCCAGACCCCGCTGGGAGGGGCTGGGGCCTGCAGGGGTCGGTGTAGGGGTTCAGAACCTCTCGGGGACCCCCCTCACAGCTCCTGGGGGGGCTGTCGTGCTGGTCAGAGGGGGCGTCCTCGGACACGCCGCTGTCACTGGTGGCTGGGGACCAGCTGGACGAGTCTGACACTGAGTCCCTGGAGCCCAGGATGGAGCTCAGGAAGTCGTCACTGTCCGGGGCACGCTGTGGGGACATGGCACCGTCACCGAGGTGTGACATCCCAGGTGTGGCATTCCAGGGCTGTGACCCAGCAGGGCCGAGGTGGGGCAGGCTCCAAGCCCGGGGCTCTCACCCTGTCCTGGGGCCAGACTCCTGGTGGCGTCCCCAGATCCAGCCCACGCAGGATCCCGTCCTGGTGGTCAAAGAGGAGATCCAGCAGGTCCAGGCTCTCGAGGCTGCCCACGCTGGGGGCCATGGCTGTGGGGTGGCAGGGTCATTGCACAGCCCAGGCCTGTGGTAGCCCCCACAGCCACCCCCCACACGAGCTGCACGGCCCCAGGGACACCCCGAGTCGTGGGGCAGCTGGGAGAGGGCAGGGCCATGTTGGGATTCACCTGGAAAAGCCCTACAGGTGCAGGATGGGATGTGGGGGGTCCTGGCATGACAGTGCCCCCCACTCATTCCAGCAGCTGAAATTCCCAAATCCTGCAGTTTTCCACCCAGAGCAGCCCAGCCAGGGGGTTCCCTCCTGGAGGTGACCGTGCTGGAAGGGCTGGTTAATCATTTTGGGTGGCAAGGGGAGGGGAGGGGACTGTGGCCACTGGCCACCCCAGGGAGGAGACTCGGCCCCAAGGAAGGGACTCAGCCCCTCACTGCTACCCCAGGCTTGAGACCCCACACTCAGAGACAGCCACTGGACTAGATGACCCAGTTGGACCATTAGCCCAACTGGCCAAGCAGCCAACTGACACCACAACTACCCAACCAGCTGACCCACTGACCAACTGGTTGACCAGTTGATCAAGAGACTCACCAAATGGCCAACCATTGGCCAAGTGACCAATGAGTGGACTGCCCAAACAACCAGCCCACTGACCAATGGACTGACCACTCAACTCTGCCTGATTGACCAACCAACCAACCAACCAACCAACCAACCCAAACGTCCTCCAAGCCACTTGGGGACACTTGTCATTACTTGACGTTTGTCAAGGTGGACAAGGGGCTTTATTGCACCCTGTCCTTCACCCTCAATCCCCTCAGTGAATCCTGATGGCCCCGTGGGACCCTGCTGAGCAGTGGCAGCCAGGACATACCTGAGTGAGATGCCATGGATCGTCCTCTCAACTCTCTCTGAGCACAGATGAGCGTGGTGGACAACAAGCTTGGCCTTCACCCTCCTCCTCCTCCTCCTCTGTTGTGATTCCCTGACCCAAGTGGCAAAGTTTAAACTCCAACTGCACAGAAATAATATCCCAGATTGCAAAATGTCCCAGCCCTGATTGGGGCCGTCGGCGTGCGATGGCAGGGCCGCCCCGGGGCTGGACCCGTAACTCATTAGCCAAATGTTTTTGTGCTCCTCTGCCAAGCAGGACAGGAGGGGCCAGGGCTGCCGAGCGAAGTCCAGGTGCTATAATTGTCCATGAACCTTCACCCACTTTTGGGGACAGTTTCCCTTTTTTCAGACGTCTCGGCCTTAATCACATTCGATTAAGTGTGTGAGGGCAATATCCAGGGACGTTGCCTTGGACTCTACCATTTATGGCTTATTCAAAAAAACCTTGGTGCCCTGTGGCTGTTCCTGGAGAGAGACAAGGGCTGGAGGCACAGGACACAGGGAATGGTTTCCCACTGCCAGAGGGCAGGGATGGATGGGATATTGGGAAGGAATTGTTCCCTGGGAGGATGAGGAAGGGTTGGGATGGAATTCCCAGAGAAGCTGTGGCTGCTCCGGGATCCCTGGAATGTCCAAGGCCGGGTTGGAGCAGCCTGGGACAGTGGGAGGTGTCCTTGTCTATGGCAGGGGTGGGAGGGGATGTGTTTAAAATCCATCCCAACCCAGACCATCCTGGGATGGAATCCCAACGGGATTATTCCCTGACTCCCTCACGGCTGTCTCGGGGTGGTCGCTGTGCCAAAAACCCCTCATCCCCCTCATCCTGAGGGGCATCAGCACAACACCAACACCCGCATCCCCTCAGTGAATCCCACCCCACCGGACCCCTGGGATCCTGAATCCCGGGCACAGGGAGGGGACACAGCTGACTAAGGCTCCGTGTGCTCCAGGCGTGGCGCGGGGACAAGGCCACGGCCCCTTATCGGCCGCCCCACGGCCTCTGCCCGGGTAGGCGGCGGCTGCTCCCCGCTTTATGGCTCCGCCGGGACCGGGCAAAGGGCGCCCGCCCGGTGCCGCCACCCGGGGCCCGTTCTGAGGAGTCTCGGGGGTCCCGGAGCCTGGGCTCGGGCATGGAACAGGATGAGCAGAGCAGGCTGGGGGGCTGCTGCCGGTTGCTGGGTCACTAATTAGTGATTATTTAATTAATGCTCCGTCCACACAGCCGCTGCGCCCCGGTGCCCCTCAGGACGCCACAGCCGCCACCTCCGTCTCCCCCTCAGCGAGATCTCGCGAGACTCCGCCCCGCCGCTCGCTCTTCCCGGTGCACTGAGGCCCCGCCTCCCTTGGGCCCCGCCCCATGTGCCGGTACAGGCCCCGCCCCCCGGGCGTTCTTTCCCCTCCTCACGGAACCCCCGGCCCCGCCTCACGGAACCCCCGGTCCCGCCTCACGGTGCTCCCGGTCCCGCCTCCATAGGCCCGACCGCGGCCCCGCCCCGGTTCCGTCCCCCTCCCCGGTCTCAACCCCGGCCCCACCCCCAGGCGAGGCCCCGCCCTCTCCAGGCCCGTCCGTGCAGCGGCCCCGCCCCCGATTGGCCCGCGCTGGCCCCGCCCCGGCCCCGCCCCCGCGCGCCCCCGCGCCCGGCCGCGCCCCCCGGCCCCGCAGGCGCGGCCCGGCCCGGCCATGCCGGCCAAGAGGAAGCCGGTGCTGCCCGCCCTCAACATCGCCCCCAGCACCGCCGAGGGGCCCAGCCCCGACGGCTCCGCAGAGTGAGTCAGGCTCGGCCGGGACCGCCCCGGCAGCGGGGCTGGGCCTGGGGGGGGACGCGGGGCCTTGGAGGGGGACAGCGGGCCTTGGGGACACCGGGCCTGGGCTGACCGGGGAGGCCGGGACAGAGCGGGCACCGGGGCTGGGGGGTCGGGGCACGGCGGGCACGGGGTGTGGGGGGCGCCAGGGAAGGCCTGGACGAGCCGGGACAGGTCTGGGGAGGCCTGGGAAGGTTTGAGGGGAGTCCTGGGCCAGGCTCGAGGGAAGCAAGGAAGGCCTGGGGGAATCGGGACAGGTCCGGGAGAGCTGGGACAGGCCTGGGGGGCTGAATGGGCCCAGTCCGGGGTGTGTGGGGCAGGCGGGGCGTCAGGGAGGCAGAGCCGGGGGAGAAGGGTGAGGGTTGGAAGGGATGGGCTGGGGGTGGGATGGGCAGGGGGAGGCTGCTCGGGCCCCCCGGTTTGCAGGGGACAGCTGAGACCTGGAGCGAGAGGGAAACAGGCCTGGAGAGCCAGGGTGGAGCTGGGATGGGGACCCGGGATCAGGATTTGGGGCAGCGATGGGGGCTCGGCAGATGGAACATGTGGGGTGAGAGGTGGTCGGGGGGTACGTGGGGGTGCTGGGTGGAAGGGATGGGGTGAGACCCTCCCCACACGTCCCCCTGAGGGTGGGTGAAGGGGGACAAAGGAGTGGCAGCAGCTGGGATGGAGCAGCTGCAGCTGGCACAGGCGGCAGCAGGTGCTGGGGGAGCACAGACCCCCCTTTGTGCTCAGGATTTGGGGTGGGGGCTGTAAGGGAGCTGCTGGACCCCATGGAAATCCCTTCTCATGTTACACAGCCAAAGCCAGGCTTGGCTCCCCGGGACAGGGAGCAGTGTCTGGTGCTGCCTCTTTAAGGGCTGAAGGACTTTTCCTATTCCTTGGCTCTCCCAAAACACCTGACTGCTCCAAAGCTCCTCTCCAGAGGGTCTGTGTGTGAGGCAGGGACTTCTCCAGGTCTCCTTGTCCAGGTGATCCCACTGTCAGGAGTTTGGGACATGTCAGGGGATGCTTTTCCACCACTTTCCTAAAAAACCAAACCCTCCTTTCCTTGGTGCTGACCATCTCCCATCTCCTCCTCCCCTCTCCAGGGCTAACCTGGTGGACCTGCAGAAGAAGCTGGAGGAGCTGGAGCTGGATGAGCAGCAGAAGAAGCGCCTGGAAGCTTTTCTGACCCAGAAAGCCAAAGTTGGGGAGCTGAAGGACGATGACTTCGAGAGGATCTCAGAGCTGGGCGCTGGCAATGGCGGGGTGGTCACCAAAGTGCAGCACAAACCCTCAGGGCTCGTTATGGCACGGAAGGTAACGAGGGACTGGGAATGCTGGGCAGCATCTGGAGCTCTCCCTGGCTCTGGGAGGCCTGGGCTTGGTTGGATTCTCTCTGCATTTGCACCTCACCTGGGTCAGGAGCAGAGTCCTGGCTGCTCCCACATGGGATCTGCATGGAGCTGTCTCCTTTGGGAGAGGCTGCACTCCCAGTGACAGATCCCTGGGCTCTGGAAAACAGGAGTTTATTTTTTTTTCCCAGTTCTGATGGACAAAGGATCTGGAATTGGGTCTCCTGAGGATTGTAGGTTGTGGCTGAGGAGGGCTGGAAGTGTCAGTGGGAAGGATAGGTTTGGCCCTGTTTAACACATCCCAAGCAGGGACAGAGGTTCCTCTCACACTTGGCTTCTTTGGGAACATCTCCTGTGGTGCCACAGAGTAGAAAATCAGGAGCTGCTTCTTCTGCCTGCTGGGAGAGGCTGTGCTTGGCAGGAGCAGCACAAGCACTGCTCTGCCTCCTCCAGAGTCTCTCCTCCCTCCTGCTGTTGGGATCATGGAATGGTTTGGTTGGAAGGGGCCTCACAGCTCACCCAGTTCCATGGGCAGGGCCACCTTTCCCCAGCCCAGGGTGTTTTCCCTCCTCACTCTTCTCTGACCCCACGTGGAGCCCCAAAAGCCGCTGCTCGTTCTTGTGCAGAACCTTCACAGGGGCTTTTTTCTTTTCTGTGGTTTCCTTGATCTCGGAGCACCTTCTTACAACACCTCCAGAGCTTGTGAAAATGTTCCTGCCTGCTGACTCAGAGGGGCTGAGATCAAACTCCTGACTCGTCTTTCCGCCGTGTCCGGTGCAATCCCGGCGCCTTCCGTGGCTCAGGCAGCACCGAGCTCTGCCTCCAGCATGGAATCCCACCCTGGATGGGGCTGGAGAGACCTTAAATCCCATCCAGTGCCACCCCTGCCATGGCCAGGGACACTGGGAAGTGTCCCAGGCTGCTCCAAACCGTGTCCAACCTGGCCTTGGGCGCTTCCAGGAGCAGCCACAGCTGCCCTGGGCACCCTGTGCTTCACCACTCTGCCAGGGTTTATTCCCAATATCCCATCTATCCCTGCCCTTTGGCAGTGGGAAACCATTCCCCGTTTATCACTGTTATAATATATAATTATTAATTATATATTAGTATAATTAATCCTTACTATTAATCTGCAAATGGGAAAAATTCTGCTCCAAAGCAGCACCTCCCTTGAAGATCTCTTCTCTTCCCAGCACTCAGGGCTGCTCCCCATCAATCCTTTTACTTTCCTGGGGTCACACCTTGTCTGTTTTTCCTCTCTTGGCAGCTGATCCATTTGGAAATCAAGCCAGCCATCAGGAACCAGATCATCCGGGAGCTGCAGGTGCTGCACGAGTGCAACTCCCCGTACATCGTGGGGTTCTATGGAGCCTTCTACAGCGATGGGGAGATCTCCATCTGCATGGAGCACATGGTGAGCCTGCCCTGCCCTGCCCTGCACCCTCCCAGTCCCCTCTCCCTGTGCCTTGGGCCACTGCCAGCTCCTCGCTGTGGCCACTCTGCTCCTGGTGGGAGCCACACGTTCCTGCTCAGGCCCTCGGAATGAGGGAGACAGCGACTTTTGGGAAGAGGAAGCAGAGGTTTGGGGCTAGGCCAAACGGAAATGTTGCCAAGCCACTGCTCTGCAGAGCCTGCTGAGAGGCTCAGTGAACATATTCTGGTGGAGAACGATGTTACTTCTCCTCCAGATCAGCACCATCTTGGCATTGCCACTGATGGGAGGAAGCAAAGAACCAACAGCAAGAAGCAGAGCTGTTAAATAAACCGGTTTTCAGTGATAAACCTGAGCTCAGATCACCAGATCTCCCTTTTTTTGGGGTGGAAAAGGAGTGTGCTCAATGCTGTTCACCCACCACCTGCTGCCCTGTACATCCAGCTGCTCTGTTTTCCTGCTGGGAATTGCTGTGTTGGTCATTCCCATGTTCTTTATTTCAGGATGGGGGCTCTTTGGATCAAGTGCTGAAAGAAGCCAAAAGAATTCCTGAGGAAATCCTGGGCAAAGTCAGCATAGCTGTGAGTGCTGGGGCTGCTCAGACTTCCAGGAGGGATTTGCTGGGCAGGGATTGGGAATAATGCCTGGGCTGCCCTGGGAAGCTTTTTGTCTTCCCCAATCCTAGGGACTGCACATTCCTGGGCTTGGAGGGGAAATATTCCCAACCCCTTTCCCCACCTCCAACCCCTCTGGATAACGTTGGCTTCACCTCGAGGAGGTTTGGGAGGAGCTTTTTCGGGTGGTTCACCCAAAATCTGTGCTGGAATTGGGGGTAAACTGCGAACCCTGAGGGACGTGGGCAGCACAGGGCCATGAGCTGAGGGCAGAGCTCTTCCCTCAGCTCAGCTCAGCTCTCACCCAGCCTTTGGGTTCCCCCCAGGTGCTGCGGGGCCTGGCCTACCTGCGGGAGAAGCACCAGATCATGCACAGAGGTGAGAGAGCAGGGCCCTGAAAATCCCCACCCGCAGTGCCAGCTGTCACCCAGAGCCACCTTCACCCTCCCCTTCCCCTGTCTCGCTGTTCCCAGATGTGAAACCCTCCAACATCCTGGTGAATTCCCGAGGGGAGATCAAGCTCTGTGATTTCGGGGTCAGCGGGCAGCTCATTGACTCCATGGCCAACTCCTTTGTGGGAACTCGGTCCTACATGTCTGTAAGTTCCTTCCAGCCTGGGCTTTTTGGGGTAATTTGGGTTCATCTCAGCTCTGTTTCCATCCCCATCTGGTTCACAGGGGCACTTTCCCACTGTCCCAGGGTGTTCCAAACCCTGTCCAGCCTGGCCTTGGACACTTCCAGGGATCCAGGGGCAGCCACAGCTTCTCTGGGAACCTGTGCCAGGGCCTGCCCACCCTCCCAGGGAAGGATCCTGAGGTCTGAGCTGCTCCTGTATTTTGGGAATGGTTATTCAAGTGCAGTTATAGTTAGACAGGGGCTATTTAAAAATCCTGTCCCCTCTGCTCCCAGGCCCTGGCTCCAAGCTGCCTCAGAGCTGCCAGTGGGGATGACTTGCATGGATTGATTTATTTCTGATTTTTTTTTTTTTTCTTTTAATGGCCATAACCTCGAGGGGATTTTCTGCTCTTCTGATTCCTCTTGAGAGTTAACAGGAGTGAGCAGGAAAACACATTTTTATGGATAAGTTGAGTTCCTTAGATTTCAGCACACAGGGAAATAAATTGCTGCTGGGTGTTCCAGACTCCCAAACACAAGTAGCTGGAAGTGCTGCTGAGTTGGGAGTGTGGATGAGAAGCTCTGAGTGATTTTTTTTCTGCACATCATCCTTCTTTTCCATCCCCTTTGCACATGATCCTTGTGGGACTGTCCTTTCCCTGGAGAGCTGCCATGGAGAGGCCTTTGGGATGTTACAGAATTCCAGAATGGGTTGGGTGGGAAGGGACCTTAAAGCCCATCCCGTGCCACCCCTGCCATAGACAAGGACACCAAGTCCCAGGCTGCTCCAAGCCCCATCCAGCCTGGCCTTGGACATTCCAGGGATCCAGGGGCACCCTGTGCCAGCCCTGCCCACCCTCCCAGGGAACAATTCCTGCCCAGTATCTCATCCATGGCTGCCCTCTGGCAGTGGGAATCCATTCCTTGGTGTCAGTATCCCATGTTCCCCCGTGTTCCTGTGTCCTGGGAGTCAGTGTCCCATGGCAGTGGGTGTTCCTGTGCTCTGAGGGCCAGCATTCCATGTCAGCCCCCATTCCCAGTGCCCTGGATGCCTTTATCCCCCATTCCCGGTGCCTTTATCCCCATTCCCATTTCCTTTACTCCCATTCCCATTTGCTTTATCCCAATTCCCAGTGCCCTGGGTGCCATTATCCCCCATTCCCAGTGCCATTATCCCCCATTCCCAGTGCCATTATCCCCATTCCCAGTGCCATTATCCCCATTCCCAGTGCCATTATCCCCATTCCCAGTGTCATTCCCCTATTCCCAGTGCCTTTATCCCCATTCCCAGTGCCATTCCCCCATTCCCAGTGCCTTTATCCCCACTCCCATTCCCTCTACCCCCACCCCGGTGCCCCCTCACGCCGTCCCTGTGCTCTCCCCCCAGCCCGAGCGCCTGCAGGGCACGCACTACTCGGTGCAGTCGGACATCTGGAGCATGGGGCTGTCCCTAGTGGAGCTGTCGATCGGAAGGTACCCAATCCCCCCGCCAGACTCCAAGGAACTGGAAGCAATTTTTGGCCGTCCTGTGGTGGACGGGGCGGAGGGAGAGTCCCCCAGCATCTCGCCGCGGGCCAGGCCCCCAGGACGCCCCGTCAGTGGTAGGGGCTGTGGTGTGGCAGCAACGCTTCCATGGGGGATGAGAGGGGCTGGGCTGAGGCTGGGAGAGGAGCCTGGGCTGGGAATGTTTGTAGGGAAAAGTCGGGGATGATGCTCTGGGTGCCTCCCACCCCCGCCACAGGTTTGTGGGAGAGTGGGGAGGGGACTCTGAGGATGGGTTTGGGATCTGCTGACGATTCCTTAGGAGCCTCCTGTGTCTCCAAGGCTCAGCCCCTCCTGCTGTGGGCACAGCTGGGATGTGGCTCCCTTGGAGAAGATGGTTTGAGGGACGCTGTGACAGCTCCTTGTGCTCCTCGGGCTTTGCCTGTGCTGCCAGCAGGTTCCTCTTTTTTGGGAAGAGCTTTGCTGGGAGCTCTCACAGAAGCACCAAACAGCACCAGCATTCCAGGGAGGCTCTGCTGGAGCCTTTTCCCTGGGAGCAGAAGTTCTGCCAGCCAGCCAGAGGAGATGGTCTGGTGCTCTCCAAACATTCCAAGCTGGGAAATAAATCTGGACTGGAGGTGAAAGAAACCCAAATTTTGGGATTTTGATTTCTATTTACCCATGACTCAATTCCCCTGGGAGCTGCCTCAGCCTCTCCCAGCAGAGCTCCCCCAAAGTTGTGTTTTTCACCCCAAGCTGAGCCCTGAGCAGCCTCTCAGCCCCCTTTGTGTCGTGTCACCCCCCCAGGCCACGGGATGGACACCAGGCCTGCCATGGCCATCTTTGAGCTGCTGGATTACATCGTTAACGAGGTGGGTGTTTAATTTCCCAGGGCTCTGCTGGGATTCCTGGAGGTTCCACAGGGATGTGCCTGCTCTGCTGAGGCAGGGTGGGATCTGGGATGTTGGGTCATTGGTGGAGTCCCAACATGGTTTGGGTTGGAAGGATCTTAAAGCTCATCCAGTGCCACCCCTGCCATGGCAGGGACACCTCCCACTGTCCCAGGCTGCTCCAGCTTGGCCTTGGGCACTTCCAGGGATCCAGGGGCAGCCACAGCTGCTCTGGGAAATCCATTCCAGGGCCTCCTCACCCTCCCAGGGAGAAATTTCTTCCCAAAATCCCATCTGAACCTTCCCTCCTTCAGCTTAAGGCCATCCCCCTTGTCCTACCCAACTTGCACAAGCTCTCACAAACAAGTGGAAAGGGCAGCTTCTCTTTCCAGGGTGATGGGAAAGTCTCATTTTGGGATTGTTTCATCAGCCATAGGCATGGCCAGAGCTGGGATTTGTGAAGCTGGATTTAGGATTGGGATGCTTGAGGTTGGTTTTCCTGGCTGGAAAAGCAGCGAGGATGAGGAGGATAAGGGTGGCTGTAGAGCACAGCTCCCTGGCACTGCAGCTGACACTGATTTTTGGCACAGTAACACAGGAGTGGTGCAGGAACCCTTTTTCCTTCTCTCCACAGCCACCTCCCAAGCTGCCTAGCGGAGTCTTCACGCAAGATTTCCAGGAGTTTGTAAATAAATGGTGAGGAATTCATCTCCTGGCTTCTGAAGGTGGAGGCCTGGACGTGCTCCCTGACAGCTCTGCAGCTCCAGCCTCTGTGTTCTGCCTGATCCCACCTTGTGCTGGGAGCTCTTGCCTTGGGAAGGGTTGGAATAAAAGCATTTTATTTGTGGGGCTGCTGAGCAGGATCCCAGCTCCTTCTTAAACCTGAGCCTGGCAAGGTGGGTGGGGGAGCAGATCCTGGGGCTGAGTCACCCCATGGGCACAGGGACACCTCCAAGAGATTGGATATTACAAAAATCCCAAATTTCCTGCCAAGCTTTAGGGCCTTTTCTCCATTTGCAGGGCACAGTTTGTCCCCACAGGCTGCAAGGGATGGATCCTGCAGCTCTCCTGGGATCCTGAGGGGCTCTGGGTGAAGCTGGAACTTCTCCAGCCTGATCCCCACATTCCCACCAGGAATCTCATGTTGGCTTCACTCGTTTGTTCTTCTCCTTTCAGCCTAATTAAAAACCCAGCAGAACGAGCAGATCTGAAGATGCTGATGGTGAGTGGGAAGAGGATTTTTTTTTCTCCTGGGGTGGCACCAGCTCTGCCAGCTGCTGCCCCATCCCTCCTGCTCCAAAGGCTGGGAATCCCCAGGCTGAGCTCAGGCTGAGGCAGAGTGACCCCCCTGATCCAGGGGCAGTGCTGGGATCCTGCCCAGACTCTGCTGGGACAAACCTGGCTCCTCACCTGGGCAGGTGGGTGGCACTGAGGGCTGGATCCCAGCTGTGCTCTCATCCCAGAGATCCTGATGAGTCCTGGGCAGCAGGGGAGGGGGAGATTCTGGGGTTCAGGTGAGACCCCACCTGCAGAGCTGCCTCCAGCTCTGCTCCAACAGCAGCAGCACCTGGAGCTGCTGGAGAGAGCCCAGAGGAGGCCCCAGGGCTGGAGCCGGGCTGGGAGAGCTGGGGGTGCTCACCTGGACAGGAGAAGGATCCAGGGAGAGCTCAGGGCCCCTCCAGGGCCTGAAGGGGCTCCAGGAGATCTCAGAGGGATTTGGGACAAGGGATGGAGGGACAGGACACAGGGAATGGCTCCAACTGCCAGAGAGCAGGGCTGGGTGGGATATTGGGAAGGAATTCCTCCCTGGAAAGGTGGGAGGGCTGCAAGGAGCAAAATCCTCTTTCCCCGAATCACCTGTGGCACCAGGATCTCTTCCCCCCCCTTCTCCAGGGCATATCCCACGGCACAGAGCTGGCTTTTTTGGGGTCTGGGGATGCTCCTCTGGGCTGTTCCTGACCGTGTTTTCCCTGTGCTTGCAGAGCCACACGTTCATCAAGCGCTCCGAGGTGGAGGAGGTGGATTTCGCGGGCTGGCTGTGCCGGACGCTGCGGCTGAACCAGCCCAGCACTCCCACCCGAGCTGCCATGTGAGCCTGGCCCGGCACTCCTGCCTCTGGCACCGCTTCCTCTCCTCCTCCCTCCACGGCAGAGCTGCCCCCTCCTTCCTCCCTCCCAGCCCCAGCGCCAAAAAAGCTCCGGCCTCCCAAAATTTCGGAGCCCTGGCAGAGGCTCCATCCCCCGGGGCTGCCCGGTGGGGTTGGTCCCTGAGGGTTTGGGGATGTTCCAGGCCTCTGCTCCAGCTCTGGAGCTCCTGACACTTGGGAATTGTGGTGCTGCTTATGTTGATGATTTTTTTTTTTTTCTTCTTTATTTTGGGTTGTTTTGTTTTGGCTTGGAAATGTGTTTTCACTCGGGTTAAAAGAGAAGGTGATGGAGGTGTGTGAGGTGGTGATGCTTCATCTCCTCCCTGGTTTTCTCTCTGGGATGGAGAATCGGTGGGATGAGGAATGGAGGTGCCTGGGGTGGCCCAGAGCAGTGACACTGTCGTGCCTGGGGCCAGGGCTGGGCTCTGGGTTGGCCCCGGGCGTGGGGGCAGAGCAGAGATCGCTCTTTGCCTGGTTTGCTTTTTAAAGGGTTCTTTTAAAGCCTGGCTTTGTCCCGCGCTGGATGTTCAGGGCAGGGGGATGGGGATGGGGATGGGAATGGGGATGGCTCCCACTTTTCAGTGTCCAGGTGAGAGGAGTTTGTGGATTTTCCTTCCCTGGAGAGGTGGAGCAGAACCCGGCTGTTCCCAGTGGCTGTGCCTGGGATTGGGGTCCCTGTCCTGATCCCATGGGGGGCACAGGGAACCCTCCAGGCTTCATTTCCCCCCTTCCAGGCTTCATTTTCCCCCCTCCAGGCTGCATTTTTCCCCCTCCAGGCTTCATTTCCCCCCTTCCAGGCTGCATTTCCCCCCTTCCAGGCTTCATTTTTCCCCCTCCCAGGCTTCATTTTTCCCCCTCCAGGCTTCATTTTTCCCCCTCCAGGCTGCATTTTCCCCCCTCCAGGTTGCATTTTCCCCCTCCAGCCCATCGCAGGGGTGGCCTCAGCCCTTGTGGACGTGGCCCAGCTCCAGGATTCCCTGTCGGAGCCCCCTGGCCAGGGCTGAACCCACATTGTCCCCTCATTGTCCCTCCCATCAAGGACCTTTTGCAGCCCCCAGGCCCCGAGCTCCTCCCTTCCCACCACGTGGATTTTTTGGGGTGAATCATTCCCCTCCTCCTTCCCCCACGTGGGTTTGGCAACCGTTGAGTCCCCCGTGATGATTTGGGAAGTTTGGTGGGAATTTTTTGGTGTTTTCCTTCTTTTTTTTTTTTAATTTCTTTTTAAATTTTTTTTTTTTTGGCTGTTTTTCACCCGGTCAGGCTGGCAGCTCCCATCCCCCTGAGTACCACCATGGCAAACCCCCCAAAATTAACAACCAGAACTGGGTAACCCCAAATCCCTCATCCCTTTTCCTTTCCTGTTTTTCAGCACAGGACAAAGGCACTGCCCTGCCTGGGGCCAACCCAAAGAGGGGGAACACCCCAATTTTTTGGGGAAAACACCCCAATTTTGGGGGGAACACCCCAGATTTGAGGGATCCGTGCTTGCTGGCTCAGCTCATGCCAGGCCAAGCCCCTCCCTGGGGCCGTGGGGTGCTCGATGTGATGGATTTTGCCTCTTATTTTACATGAGAAGCAGGGAATGTTCTTCAAGTTTCGGGCTATTTTCCATAAGTTTTGGTGCTGGGTTTTGGAGGAGGAAGAGGAGGAAAAGGAGGAGGAGATCGTGGATGGAGCAGTTTGGTGGTGCAATTAAAAAAAA